TGAAGATGCTGATTCCGGTCTATAATCGAAGGATTTGATTGCGGAACAATTAGTGGTCATAATGATGCTTGATTTTATTGAAATTTTTTTCTCAGCCATATTTTATTTCTTCATAAACTATTGGTTTCTCTCAGGTGATTGGGTGGTGTTGTTATGTTTTTTCTGGATGTACTTAATTACTGAAATTAATCACAAATTTCAAGTCTGAGAAAATCATATTTGGTGAAAAAACGCTAAGGGTTTATACGCATTTTTCAGGGTGAACAAAACGCGATAAATGCGATTTGTTTCAAAATCATAATATAGGTACTCCCTGAAGATGCTGATTCGGTCCTATAATCCGAAAGTTCGATTAAAGACAATTAATTAGTGCATGTGATGCTTGGAATATTTTAATGAAATTTTTCTCAATACTTATTTCATTACTATAAACTATTGGTTTCTCAGGTGATTGGGTGGTGCTGTTATGTTTTCTGATGCTTAGTACTGAAGTAAATCACCAAATTTCAAGTCTGAGAAAATCATATTTAATTGAAAAAAACGCCTAAGGTCCCCCTTACGCATTTTTTCAGAATTAGAATCAAACGCGATAAATGCGATTTTTGTTCAAAATCTGATATAGAGTACTCCTGAAGATGCGATTCCGATCTATAATCAAAGTTCGATTGGAATAGTGGCGGGTAATAATGATGCCTGGAATATTTTTAATGAAATTTTCTCATTACTTATTTCGGTACTCATAAACTATTGGTTTCTCAGGTGATTGGGTGGTGTTGTTATGTTTTCTGGATGTGCTTAATCACTGAAATTAATCCCACCAAATTTCAAGTCTGAAAAATCATATTTGGGTGAAAAAAAGCGTAAGGGTCCCCGCCGCGTTTTTCAAGTCCGAACAAAGCGCGATAAATGCGATTTTGTTCAAAATACAATATAGGTACTCCTGAAGATGCTGATTCGGTCCTATAATCGAAAGTTCGATTCTTGAATAATTAATAATGGTAGTCATAATGATGCTGGAATATTTGCAATGAAATTTTTCCTCATTACTTATTTCAATTTCTTAAACTATTGGTTTCTTAGTGATTGGGTGATCATTGTTGTTATGTTTCTGGATGTACTTAATTACTGAAATTAATCACAAATTTCAGTCTGAGAAAATCATATTTGGGTGAAAAACGCCTAAGGGTCCCCCTTACGCATTTTCAGGGTCGAGTCAAAAGCGCGATAAATGCGATTTTGTTCAAAATCACAATATAGGTACTCCTGAAGATGCTGATTCCGGTCCTATAATCGAAAGTTCGATTGACTTGGAAAATATTAGTGGCACGTAATGATGCTTGGAATATTTTAATGAAATTTTTCTCAATACTTATTTCAGTACTCGCAACTATTGGTTTCTCCAGGTGATTGGGTGGTGTTGTTATGTTTTCTGGATGTACTTAATCACTGAAATTAATCACCAAATTTCAAGTCTGAGAAAAATCATATTTGGGTGAAATAAAAGCGTAAGGATTTTATACGCGTTTTTTCAGGAGTCGAGACAAAACGCGTAAATGCGATTTTGTTCAAATCCTAGTATAGAGTACTGCTGAAGATGCTGATTCGGTCCTATAGTCGAAAGTTCGATTCTTGGAGTAGTGGTCGTAATGATGCTTGGAATATTTTAATGAAATTTTTCTCAATACTTATTTCGTGCTACTTAAACTATTGGTTTTACAGTTATATAATTACTGGTAATCACACAAATTTCAGAGTCTTGAGAAAATCATATTTGGGTGAAAAAAAGCGTGGGGTCCCCTTAGCGTTTTCAGAATTCGAAAACAAACATATAAATGCGATTTGTTAAAATCATAATATAGGTACTCCTGAAGATGCTGATTCCGGTCCTATAATCGAAAGTTCGATTGCGGAACAATTAGTGGTCGTAATGATGCTTGGAATATTTTAATGAAATTTTCTCAATACTTATTTCAGTACTATGAAACTATTGGTTTCTTAGGTGATTAGATTGGTGTTGTTATGTTTTTCCTGGATGTATGAGTACTGAAATTAATCACAAATTTCAAGTCGAGAAAAATCATATTTGGGTGAAAAAAAAGCGTAAAGAGATTCGCCGCGCGTTTTTCAAGTCCGAACAAAATGCGATAAATGCGATTTTGTTTCAAAATCATAATTATAGGTGATACTCCTGAAGATGCTGATTCGGTCCTATAATCGAAAGTTCGATTAGAGATAATTAGTGAACGTAATGATGCTTGGAATATTTTAATGAAATTTTCTCATTACTTATTTCAGTACTTGCAAACTATTGGTTTTCTCAGGTGATTGGGTGGTGTTATTATGTTTTTCTGGATGTACTTAATTACTAAAAATTAATCACAAATTTCAAGTCTGAAGATAATCATATTTAGACGAAAAAAACGCGTAGGGAATTTTATACGCATTTTTCAAGGTCGAAGTCAAAACAGCGATAAATGCGATTTTGATTAAAAATCACAGTATAAGTGCTCCTGGTATGATTCGATCTATATTGAAAGTTGAGGTGCGGAACAATTAATTGGTCGTAATGATGCTTGGAATATTTTAATGAAATTTTCTCATTACTTATTTCAGTACTCGCAAACTATTGGTTTCTCAGGTGATTGAATTGGTGTTGTTATGTTTCTGGATGTATATTGCTGAAATTAATCCACCAAATTTCAAGTCTGAAAATCATATTTGGAGTGAAAAAAAGCGTGAGGTCCCCCACTACGCGTTTTTCAGGAGTCGTAAAACGCGATAAATGCGATTTTTGTTCAAATCTGGTAGTACTCCTGAGATGCTGATTCGGTCCTAATCAGAAAGTTCTATTGCGGAAATATTAGTGGCCGTATTGATGCTTCGATCTTTAGCGAAATTACTTTATAATACTTATTTCAGTACTCGCAAACCTACTTGGTTTCTCGGGTGATTGGGTGGTGTTGTTATGTTTTCTGGATGTATAGTACTGAAAATTAATCCTGAAATTTCAAGTCTGAGAGAAAATCATATTTGGGTGAAAAAAAAGCGTGAGGTCCCCTTACGCGTTTCAAGTCCGAACAAAACGCGATAAATGCGATTTTGTTCCAAAAATCTCATAAAGCCATGGAGCTGCTCCTGAAGATGCTGATTTGGGGTCCTATAATCGAAAGTTCGATTAGCGAACAATTAGTGGTCGGAATGATGCTTGGAATATTTTAATGAAATTTTCTCCAATACTTGTTCAGTACTCTTATTATTGCTTTCTGGGTGATTGGGTGGTGTTGTTATGTTTTCTGGATAGCCGCAGTACTGAAATTAATCCACCAAATTTCAAGTCTGAGAAAATCATATTTGGGTGAAAAGCGTAGATCCCCTGCGCGTTTTCAAGGGTGAACAACTTGGCGATAAATGCGATTTTGTTCAAAAATCATAATTATAGGTACTCCTGATGCTGATTCCGGTCCTATAATCAGTTCGATTGCGGAACATTAGTGATCATATTGATGCTTGGAATATTTTAATGAGAAATTTTTCTCAATACTTTATTTCAGTACTCGCAAACTAATGGTTTCTTTCCAGGTGATTGGGTGGTGTTGTTATGTTTTTCTGGATGTATAGTACTGAAATTAATCCCACCAAATTTCAAGTCTGAAAAATCATATTTTGTTCAAAATCACAGTATACTTCACCTGAACAACATACTTGTGCCCCTCATTGAACAATTTTCTGACAAAGCACAGCATCCCAGTGGTCCCCCACCCTCTGTACTCTCCAGATCGGGTCTCCTGTGACTTTTGGCCGTTTCCGAGGTTCAAGTTGAACCTTAACTCTCTGGCTGCGGGAGGGTACCTGAAGCTGAATAAAATTGTCTGTCTGTAGCCAGAGCAAAATCGCAAGTGCACGAAAGGGTTAATGGGTAGAAGTTCATGGACAGAATGGAGATCCAGGACACATCGTAGAAGGTGCTCTCCAGCCTCACCAACAAGGATTTTCAGATCTGCTTCCAGAAGTGGGAGGAGTTGATTTAGGGCTGCATTGAGGCTTCTGCAGAATATTTTAAGGATGACAAAAGTTACACTTATATCTTGGAAAAATGAAGATTTAATGAAGCCAGTCTGGCAACTTTTGGATCACACCTCATATGTCATCAGTTCTGTGATAGAGAATTGTGTTAGTTAATAGTTGAAATAATAAGGGTCATAAAGGCACACATTTTAATAATAACAAAACTGAATACAACAATCACCACCTGTTCCCTCAACACTGCCCAGTTTTGATTCCTGGGAGGGCCTCTGGGGGCGCCGCTGCCCCTAATGAGGTCCCCTATGGGTGCCCCCTTGGGATTGCCCCTGGGTGTGCCACTGCCCTGGCAGGGCCCCTGGAGTTGCAGATGGCCTTGGGAGGGCCCCTGGGAAGTCCCTTAGGGGCGCCGTTGCCCCTGGGTGGGCCTCTGGGGGCACCACTGCCCCTATAAGGTTCTCTTGGGGCGCTGCTGCCCCTTGGAAGGCCCCTAGGGGCGCTACCATCCCTAGCAAGGCCCTGGGTTCACCGTTACCCATAAGGAGAGCCCCTGGGTGTGCTGCCGCCCTTGAGAGGGCCACTGGGAGGGCTATTGGGGTTGCTACCTCCCCTGGAAGGGCCCCTGGGGCTGCCAACGCTCCTGGAAGGGCCCCTGGGGGCACCACCGCCGCTGGAAGGTCTCTCGTGGGCGCCAACGCACCAGGAAGGTCCCCTGGGGGTGGCACAGAACCTTGGAGGGAACCTGGGGGCCCAGCTGCCTCTGGGAGGTACCCTGTGGGTGGCGCTGCCACTGGGAGGGCTCCTGGGAGTGCTACCGCCCCTGGAATGGCCCCTGGTGTTACAGATGCCCATGGAAGGGCCCCTATGGGCACCGCCGCCCTTGAGAGGGCACCTGGGGGCGCCACCGCCCCTGAAAAGTTCCCTGTGTGCGCCATATCCCCTGTGAGGGTCCTTGGAGGTGCTACCGACCCTGGGAGGGCCTATGGGGATGCGGCATCACGGGGGATGGCCCCTGGAAGATCCCCTGGGGGTGCCACTGCCCCTGGGAGGTCCCCTGGGAGCACTGTCGCCAAAGGGAGGGCCTCTAGGAAATCCCCTGTGGGCGCCACCGCCCCTGGGAGGGCCACTGGGGGTGTCACAACTCCTGGAAGAGCCCTTGAGGGCGTCACCGCCCTTGGAAGGTCGCTTGTGGGCGCCAACTCACCTGGCAGGGCCCCTGGGGGGGGGCCACAGCCCCTTGGAGAGAACTTTGGGGCGCAGCTGTCTATGGGAGGTACCCTGGGGGCACCGCTGCCAGTGGGAGGGCCTCTGGGGGCGCTATTTGTCCCTGATAGGGCCCCTGGGGTTGCAGATGCCCCTGGGAGGGTCGCTAGGGGCACCGCCACCCATGAAAGGGCCCCTGGGGGCGCCACCGGCCCTTGGAAGTCCCCTGTGGGCGCCAGCTCCCCTGGGATGGCCCCTAGGGTCGCCATCTCCGGGAGGGCCCCTGGGGGTGCTTCCACCCCTAAAGGAGGACCCATGAGGGCGCCACCGCTCCTGGAAGGGGCCTTGTTGGCGCCAATGCCCCTTGGAGGTCCCTTGGGGGCAGTTGTTCTTGCACTGTTTAGAACTCTGGAAGATGTGACGTTAAATAAATATACCATCTATCGCATTCCCAGTATCATCACATCCTGAACAATGAAAAAGGGGAAGACATATCCGACAGGAAAACATAAGTTGGGGTGTTGTGCTGACTGATTGCTCTGTTCTTCTGTTGGTTTATTTCGGTGTATTTACATTTTAGTCCACCAATCACAGTTAAGTAAGGGATAGTAGGACGTATGCAATATGTATGACTGCAATCAAGCCCCTGGGGGCGGCGACGCCCCTGTGAGGTTCCTGGGGATGCCTCTGCACCTGGGAGGGCCCCTGAGGGTGCAGCTGCCAATGGGAGGACCCCTGAGGGTGCAGCTGCCCCTGGGAGGGCCCCGGGGGCGACACTGCCCTTGGGAGGGCCCATAAGAGCACCGACGTCCCTTGGAAAGCCCCTGGTGGCGCCTCCACCTCTGGGAAGGCCCTTGTGGGGCGTCACTGCCCATGGGAAGGCTCCTGGAGCCGCCACCACCCCTTGGAGGCCACACACTGCCATTGGGAGGGCTCCTGGGGCGCCTTTGTCTGTGAGTGGGCTTTTGGGGGCGCCTCCACCCCTAAGGAGGCCCCCTAGGAAGTCCCCTGCCGTTCCTGGGAGGGCCCCTGGGGCTGCCACCGCCCCTGGAAAGTCCCCTGGGGGCAATACCACCCCTTGGAAAGATCCTGGGGTCACCACCTTTCCTGGGAGGGCCCCTGGTGATATCGATGCCCGGGGGATGGCATCCTGTGAGATCCCTTGGGGGTGCCACTGCCCCTGGGAGGTCCCCTGGGAGCACCGCCGCAATTGGGAGGTCCCCTAGGAAATCCTCTGTGGGCGCCACCGACCTTGAGAGGGCCCCTGGGAGTTCCACCGCCCCTGGAAGGTTCCTTGTGGGCTCCAAGGCACCTGGCAGGGCCCCTAGGGGCGCCACAGCCCCTTGGAGGGAACCTTGTGGCGCAACTGCCCATGGGAGGTACCCTGGGGGCACCGCTGCCACTGGGAGGGCCCCTGGGGGCGCTACATGCTCCTTGTAGGGCTCCTGGGGTTGCAGATGCCCCTGGGAGGACCCCTAGGAGCAATGCCGCCTTTGAGAGGGCCCCTGGGAGCACCACTGCCCCTGGGAAATCCCCTGTGTGCGCCACCTTTCGTGGGATGGCCTCTGGAGGCGCCACCGACCCTGGAAGGTGCCTTGGTGGCGCCATTGCCCCTTGGAGGTCCCTTGGGGGCAGTTGTTCTTGCACTATTTAGAACTCTGAAAGATATGACGTTAAATAAATATACCGTCTATTGCATTCCCAGTATCATCACATCCTGAACAATGAAAAAGGAGAAGACATATCCAACAGGAAAACATAAGTTGGGGTGTTGTGCTGACTGATTGCTCTGTTCTTCTATTGCAGTGGTTCTCAACCTTGTTTGCCCCATGCACCCCTTTCACCATGTCAGAATGTCAATCCCCCCTCCTTTCCAAGATTGTCTGCCTCAAAAAGTGCATTCCAAATAATATGTATATAATACTGAAAATCCTTTATTTTTTCCATATTAGTACATATACATTTACAATTTTACATGGATTATTTTTATAGTGGAGTTTTACAAATTAAATGCCAATTGAAAATGTTGATGGATTTATAAAACTTGAATAAAAGTAAAATATTTTTTATATATTTATAATGAATTACTTAACAGACCAAACTGAAGCATAATGCAATAAACAAAAAGTTCAATAGAATACCAGGATATTGTAAATTTGTAATTAATTTTATTCAGATGAAGATTACAGTCAATGAGAAACCTGTGATTGTTTTTTCTTCGCCAATTCTGGGATACACGGAGGAGTGCTTGAAAGGGCACAACGCAGGTCATTTTCTACCTCTAATCTACTACGTTGCTTCGTTTTAATTTGCAACAGAGTTGAAAAGCCTGACTCACAAAGATATGTCGACACAAACGGAAGCAAAGCACAGATAGCTCTTTCTGCCACTTTTGGGTAGGAATCGCGCATCAAGGGCCAAAATTCTGTGATTGATTTCTCATCGAACATATCTCTTGCTCCCGAATCAGTTTCCCCCCCTGAAAACCTGAATTCCCCCCCTGGGGGGAATTCCCCCCTGGTTGAGAACCCCTGTTCTATTGGTTTATTTTGGTGGATTTCCATTTTAGTCCACCAATCACAGTTAAGTAAGGGATAGCTGGACGTATGCAATATGCACGACACTGCGATCAAGCCCCTGGGGGCGGCGACGCCCCGGTGATGTCTCCTGGGGACGCCTCCGCCCCTTAGAGGGCCCCTAAGCGTGCCACCGCCCCGGGAAGTTCTCTCGGGGCGCCACAGCACCTTTTTGGGAACCTGGGGGTAGCCGCCACCTCTAAGGAGGTCCCCCTGGGAGTGCCTCCATTGCCCCTGAGGTGGCCTCTGGGGGCGGTGCCGCCCCTGGGAGGTCCCCTGGGGGCGCCGTTATCAGGGAGGGACCCTAGGGGCACCTCCGCCCTTGGAAGGGCCCTTATGGGCGACACCGACCCTGGAACGTCCCTTCTGGATGCCTCCACCCCTGGGAGGGCCCTTTGGGGCGGCACCGCACCTGGAATGGCCCCTAGGGGTGCCACCACCCCTTTGGAGGGAACCTGGGGTCGCCGCCACCGCTAAGTAGGCCTCATGGGAGGCCTCCGTTGCCCCTGTTGGCGCCGGTGCCCTTGGGAGGTCCTCTGGGTGTGCTACTGCACCTAGGGACGGCACCGCCCCTGGGAAGGCCCCTGGGGTCACAGAAGCCCTTGGGGGCGCCACAGTCACTGGCAGGGACCCGTTTTGCAAATTACCCCAAAGGAGAGCGCCTGGGTGCACCACCGCCTTCGGGAGGTCCTCTGGGGGTAGTTGTTTTTGTACTATTTAGAACTTTGGAAGATATGACGTTAAATAAATATACCGTCCATCGCATTCCCAGTATCATCACACCCTGAACAATGAAAAAGGAGAAGGCATATCCAACAGGAAAACATAAGTTGGGGTGTTGTGCTGACTGATTGCTCTGTTCTCCTATTGGCTGTAATTTGGTGGATTTACATTTTAGTCCACCAATCACAGTTAAGTAAGGGATAGCTGGACGTATGCAATATGTACGACACCGCGATCAAGCCCCTGGGGACGCCCCCACACCTGGGAGGGCCCCTGAGGTGCGGGTGCCCCTGGGAGGGCCCCTGAGGTGCGGGTGCCCCTGGGAGGGCCCCTGTGGCTGCGGCTGCCCCTGGGAGGGCGCCTGGTGGCGACAACCGCCCTTAGGGGTGCGGCTGTCCATGGGGATGCAGCTGCCTCTGGGAGCGCCCTTGGAAGGCATCCGTCGCCCCTGCAGCGCTACCACCCGTGGGTGGGCCTTTGGGTGCGCCGCCGCCCCTGGAGGGATCCTGAGGTCACCTCATCCCCCTAAGGAGAACCTTGGGAACGCCCCCGCCACTGCTGGGATGGCCCCTGGGGGCGCCACCGTCCTTTAGTGGGCCCCTGAGGGTTCCAACGCCCCGGGAAGTCCCTTTAGGGCGCCACAGCCCCTTGTTGGGAACCTGGGGTAACCGCAACCAACAAGGAGGCCCCCTGGGAGTGCCTCCATTGCCCCTGGGGTGGCCTCTGGGAGGTCCCCTGGAGACGCTTCTGCCCTTGCAAGGTCCCCTGGGGGGCCCGCTGTCTGAGAGGGCCCCTAGGGGTACCTCAGCCCTTGGGAGGGCCCCTGGGGGCAACACTGCCCCTGGGACGTCCCCTGTGGATGCCACTACCCCTGGAAGGGCCCTTGGGGCACCATTGCCCTTGGAAGAGTCCCTGGGGGTGCCACCATCCCTTGGGGGGCCCCTGTGGGAGGGCCTCCGTTGCCCCTGGGGACGCCGCGGCTCCTGGGAGGTTTCGTGGAGGCGCCGGTGCCCCTGAGGGCGTCAACGTCCCTGGGAGGTTTCCTGGGTGCGCTGCTGCACCTGGGAATGCCACCACCCCTGGGAAGGCCCCCAGGGGTCACAGATACCCCTGAGGGCACCACCACCACTGGCAGGGTCCCTGGGTCCGCCGTTACCCCAAACAAGGGTTCCTGGGTGCGCCACCTCCTTTGGGAGGGCCCCTGGGGGCAATTGTTTTTGCATTATCTAGAACTCTGGAAGATATGACGTTAAATAAATATACCGCAATTGCATTTCCAGAGTATTATCATATCCTGAACAATGAAAAAGGAAAAAGGAGAAGACATATACAACAGGAAAACATAAGTTGGGGTGTTGTGCTGACTGATTGCTCTGTTCTCCTATTGGCTGTAAATTGGTGAATTTACACCAATCACAGTTAAGTAAGGGATTGATGGACGTATTCAATATGTACGACACTGCGATCAAGCCCCTGAGGGCGGCCCCACCCTGTGAGGTCCCCTGGGGAAGTCTCAGCATCTGAGAGGGTCCTGGGGACATCACCGCCCTTGGGAGAGCCACTGGGAAGGCCCCTAGAAGCACCAACGCCCCCGGGAGAACCCCTGGTAGCGCCGCCGCTTTTGGGAGGGCCCATGGGGTCGCCACCGCCACTGGAAGAGCCCCGAGGGCGCCACAGCCCTTGGCAGGGCCCCTGAGGGCTCCGCCGCTCCAGGGAGAGCGCCTGGGGTGCGGCTGCCCCTGTGATGTCCCCTGGGGGCGCTTCCAGTATCTGTGAGGGCTCCTGGGTGCGCTACCGTCCTTAGGAGGGCTCCTGGGATCGCCGTCGCCCCTGGGAGGGCCCCTAGGAGAACCGACGGCTCTGGGAATGCAACTAGGAGCATCGACGCCCCTGAGAGAACCCCTGGCGGCGCTGCTGCCTTTGGGAGGGTCCCTGGGGCGCCACCGCCACTGGGGGCGCCACCGCCACTGGGGGCACCACAGCCTTAGGCAGGGCCCTTGGGGGCTCCTTCGCCCCTGGGGATGCAGCTTCCTCTAGGAAAGCCCTGGGGACTACACCGCCACTGGAAGGGCCCCTAAGAGCACCGACGCACCTTGGAGACCCCTTGACAGCGCCGCCATCTCTGGGAGGGCCTTTGGGGGTGCCGCTGCCCCTGGGGTTGCCTCAACCACTGAGGAGACCCCTGGGAAAGCCCCCGCCGCTCGTGGGGGTGCAGCCACCCCTTCCAAGGTCCCTGAAGGCGCTGCTGCTCTTGAGAGAGCCTCTGAGGGCGCCACCGCCCCTGGCAGGGCCCCTGGAAGGGCCCTGGGGGTACCGCCACCTTTGGGAGGTCCCCTGGGGGTACCGCCACCTTTGGGAGGTCCCCTGGGGGCTCCACTGCCCTTGGGAAGTCCCCTGTGGGCTCCACCACTCCTGGAAGGGCCCCTGGGGGCGCTACCGCCCTGGGGAGGTTAGGGCACCACTTTTCGTGGCAGGGCTCCAGTGTGCACTTCCGCCCCTGGTAAGACCCCTGGGGGTGCTGCCGCCCCTTGGAGGGTCTTTGATGCCGCTGCCACCCCTAAGGAGGTCCCCTGGGGGCAAGCCCACCCCTGGGTGCACTACCGCCCTGGAAGGTCCCCTGGGGGCGCTGCTGCCCCTAGGGGCCCAACCGCCCTTGGGAAGGCCCCTGGAGGAACTACAAGCATCATTACAACCCTGCAATCGAATCGTGGAGCATAGATCATCATGCTCAGGAATACGTATACTGCGATTTTCAGCAAAACCTAGTGTGAATTTTAAGTTACTTTCCCTGGACATGCAAATGTTCCACATAATTTGCACAGCCTGCCTTAAAGACTACCTCTGTAGTCCTCCTATGTGGCAAAAACTCAATTGCATTTAGATGTTCACTCTTCCTTATCAATTTCTTGATCACTTTTCCACAACTTCCAAACTTGATTACCAGCTTCAGGCCCCTGTACAGTAGTTCCCACATTGAAATGCATCACCTATACCCTTGAAAGTTGAAGGTCAATAAGTTGTGCTAGGATATTCTAAAGATATATTAAAGATGGTTATAACATTATTGGTTTGCCTTTAATCTAAGTTCCAGATGAAAGTATGGGTAAAGGTGGAGTATAGAGCTAACACCTGAAGGACCACACTGATTGTGTTAATTTTTGTGAAATTGTTTTCAAGATAATATTGAATAATAATGAATGTGATAAGAGAAATACATGCCAATAACTTATTCAAACCTTACCTAATGAAACCTAATCTAGATTTACCTAACCAACTTTGTGAGAGGTAAGGTGGTTTTTACATATACTTTTTTTCTCAGAATTGAAATTTAAAGGTTTTAACTAATTAAGTAATTACATAATAACACATTAACACCAAACTCGCACTTTGGAAAGCCATAGTTGGCGAGTAATTAGCATTGAAAAATATAATTAAATATTCCAAGCGTCATTACAACCACTAATTAACCCGCAATCGAATCGTGGGCCATATATTCGGATTCAGCATACTCTGGAGTACCTACAGTATAATGTGATTTTCAACAAAATCAATTTTTTTGGCAAAAACTGTCGAAAAGGTAAGCCTTACCCCTTTGTAATTTTACGATCAATATATACTTTTTTCTCAGAATTGAAATTTAAGGGGTTTAACTAATTAATTAATTACAGAATAACACATTAACACCTCAGGCTCAATCATGGTTTACTTAATACATCCTGTCTGCACTGGCCACCGACTCTTAGCAGTCCCAGCAACACATACAGTACAGTGCCTGTTATGTAGTGAATAAGGTGTTCAAAGTGAGGACTGAGGTCTGTAGAGTTATACATTTTTACAGACCTATTTATCGGTACCGTATCAGCTACGGTACACATTGGCCTATGAAAATTAGTAATATGGGTCTACATTAATTTTCAATGCCAATCTTTATAATCTAATCAGTTTTAAAACTTGTAATGTATCAATTAAATTGGTTACAAATACTCATATTAGCATACTCATTTCTTGTGAAGTAAACGTTTAGACAACCGGACTGGAGGCTTTGACATTTTCTGATAAATGTTTTAAGATTTTCTATAATACTAAAATAACAATTACTTCAATACAGTCATCAGGTTCTCTGGTGGCTGCGAATCATAGACATATAACTTCAGTTTTGAATGGATAACTCGTAACTTGACAAGAGGCAAAAACAGTTCTCACAGATTTGGCTGGGAATTCATATACATCATCTGGGTACAATTTTAACTGCATTTAAATAAAGTTGAAGCTTTCAACATATACATACTGAATATTGAATGCTTCACCTACTGGTATGTATACATCATTTGATGCTACTCATACATGTTACATCTGTAGTATCTTACATTATTTAATGGGAGAATGACAAGCCACATGCTCAGTCTACCAAGAGCGTTTATTCTCTGTTGTTCGTCGTACAACGTGCCTAACACATTTCGTATTTACACAAGCCTAAACACTTTCTGACTTTGGTAAGAAGTAACATAATATATAATGTATATATAATCAATAAAGGCAGCATATAAACATACACATATATAACAACATCATAATTAAAAAATTACGATACAGGGGCAATACAGAATACAATTCTTTTTCTAGGGGTAACTCGCTCGTTTCATACATGTTTTACTTTTACATTTATCCTCTTCACCACTAATCGGCTCGTTAGCCGCTTTGGTGATCGGTCTCGTCTCTGATTACTTTTCATTTTCATTTATCCTCTTCACCAAAAGATCGGCTCGCGAGCCGCCCGGGCGATCGGTCACGTCTCTGTCACGCACTGTTGGCAAGTACTGGGCATGCACCGGCTCCTGAGTGTACCTGAACCCGCTCCAGTGTTGGTCAAGTCTGGTCTTGAAAGAGCTCACACTCGGTGCCGTCACGACACTTTCTGGTAGATTGTTCCAAGAGTTTACAATCCTCACTCCGAAAAAGTTTGCCCTCACAGTTTTCTGGACTTGCGGCTTCTTCAATCTTGAGTTGTGACCCCTTGTGGGGCGAGCGTCCGCCAGCTCCAAGTAAGGACACTCGACTGAGTAGTGCCCCCTGAGATGCTTATACACCTCAACTAGGTCACCCCTTGCCCGTCTGTATTATAAGCTAGGTAAGTTCAGGCGCTCCAATCTCTCAGGGTAGCTGAGGTGCCGAAGTGCAGGCACCAGTCTGTTAGCCCTCCTTTGAACATTTTCAACCAACTGACAGTCCCTAGCATATCTCGGGGACCAGACGGGGTGACAGTACTCCAGATGGGGAAGCACTTCACTCTTGAAGATCGTTACGAGGGCCGGACCGTCTAGATATCTGAACGACCCAATAATTTATTTGCTTGGTTTACCTTCTTCTCGCAATGGCCCGAGAACTTCAGCTCATTGTCAACATACACACCTAGGTCCTTATCACATTCAGTCTCAACTAGTGCAGTTTCTTCATCCCGTTGGGACATATGATACGCCTCCTTACCGTTGGTACTCCCCAGGCGCATCCTCTTACACTTCGTGACATTGAATCTCAGCAGCCATTTCTTCGACCATTCCTGGAGCCCACAGTGGTCTTTCTGCAGCTCTTCACAGTCCGCTTGGGTCTTAATTTCCCGAAATAACTTGGCGACATTGGCAAACATTTGTATGGAGGAGTATACAACGTCAGGCATGTCATTTATGAAACAAACAAACAACAGCGGGCCCAACACACTGCCTTGTGGTACCCCACTTGTGACAGGTACAGATGACGATTTCGTGCTATTAATCACCACACACTGCTTGCGGTCATGTAGAAAGTCTTCTATCCACGCTAGGACATTTCCCCGAATTCCGTACCCTTCCAGTTTGATTTTCAGCCTTTCATGGGGTACACTGTCGAAAGCCTTGGCAAAATCTAGGTAAATAATGTCGATATTACCACCCCGTTCCTGAATATGGGTCCAAATATCTAATACCTTGAGCAATTGTGTTAAACAGGAGCGCCCCGGCATAAAACCATGTTGTTTCGTATTAGATGTTCCATTGCGGCATCTCTGATAATACTCTCAAGTACTTAACATATTACGATGGTCAGGCTCACCGGTCTATAGTAGTTCGTGGAGTGACGATCGCCCTTCTTGAAGATAGGATTCATATAAGCCACTTTCCATTCACCACTGATCTGCTCGTTAGCCGCTTGGGCTATAGACGACGGAGCATAATATGAATAAGTATGAGTGTGAAAATATTATCAGTACAACTGTGCCCATGACATGACAAATGACGAACTACTTAATTGAATGAAGTAAAAGATGCGGTTAAAATTTGGTAGAGTACCACCATGGAACTATATTTATTTTGGCAGTATTATAGTTTTGTACATCACTCGAATATTGAGACTTTCATCTTATATTTAATTGTTTTCAACAATTCTAGGACACTTTTCTTCTATGACGTTCCCATTACAAACGCAGTTTTACCTCCTAAAAAATATTGGAAAAAATATAATTTCAACTTCGAGAACTTGTGGTGTCCGAGACTACAAATTTACCATGTTAGGTAAGGTTAGGTAAATTAGATGAGGTTCTGTGCATTGCCATAGCATTTTCTTATTTAATATCATCCAAACAAATAAAAATTTGGTGCATTTCCATGAAATCCTTCTGGTACGGTCTCCCACAACATTACCATATTGTGTACTTTGAAAATGAACCCTGGTTCATGAGACTCAAATCTCTGCTTGCTTTTCAAAATACAGTATGGTTTATACTTGTGTCACGCTTACAAAATATATCTACAGGGTACTTACCTCTTGTCGTTTGGGAAGTAATGAAACCTCAGGTCTTTATTGTTGATTTTATTTGTGCCGCACTGGTGAGGCCCGTTCCGTCTCGCCTTGTTTGTGTCACTTTCATCTCTTTTACTTTAGTTTTATCCTCTTCACCACTCATTGGCTCGTTAGCCGTTTGGGCGATCGGTCACGTCTCTGTTACGCAGCCCAGTGGCCAGGAGTCATAACAAACAGCCGACGCAACTTTTCCCGTTATTTAAATAGTGCGACTATGGGGATCTACATTAAGTAGCTTTAAGGCGCGCGTCCTCCTATATACTTTCCATGGTTTTAACTCCCACTCCACCTCTCCCTGTTATTCCCCCTCCATCCTTGGCTTAATTCTCCTTCCACCCACATTCCTCCTCTTTCCTTCATTTTCTGTTCTTCCTTCTTTCTCTCCATCTTCCTTTTTTTAATATTTCCCTATTCCTGCTCACCCTCCTTACTTTTAATAATAATAATAATAATAATAATAATAATAATTAACGGTTTATTGAAAAAGTTCTGCAGCCCGAAGGCTGAAAATATACATTGGTCATAAATGACTTATTACATACATTGGTGGTTTAACAAAAGTCTTCATTAGAGAAAGGTAAAGGAACATATAGTGAACATACAGATTAATGTAGATGTAGTAACTTCCTCCCAGGTGGTGTTAGGAGGGACCTCACGTGGTGTAGTGGTTCCCTCACAGATGGTGTTATGAGGGACCTCACGTGGTGTAGTAATTCCCTCACAGATGGTGTTATGAGGGACCTCACGTGATGTAGTAACTCCCTCCCACATGGTGTTAGGAGGGACCTCACGTGGTGTAGTGGTTCCCTCACAGATGGTGTTATGAGGGACCTGACGTGCTGTAGTAATTCCCTCACAGATGGTGTTTTGAGGGACCTCACGTGTAGTTATTCCTTCACAGATGGTGTTATGAGGGGCCTCACGTGGTGTAGTTATTCCTTCACAGATGGTGTTATGAGGGGCCTCACGTGGTGTAGTAACTCCCTCACAGATGTGCTTTGAGGGGCATCGCGTGGTGTACGAATTCCCTCACAGATGGTGTTATGAGGGACCTCACGTGGTGTAGTAATTCCCTCACAGATGGTGTTATGAGGGACCTCACGTGGTGTAGTAATTCCCTCACAGATGGTGTTATATGAGTGAGGTGTGGTCCCCAGTCCTTCCTATCGTAGACGGATTAACACATCCCTGGTTGTTGTTGGGGTCTCACGGGCCGTTATCACTGGGTACCTGGGACCTCACTGTGTGAAGGTTACTTTGGGTACGACTCGTCTGTTACTGTTGAGTTGTTCTGACTGACTTAAGCACTGTTCACCACTTTTCTTCCTTCTTCCTGCTCCTCCATTCTTCTCAAGGAATACCCAATTATCTCCTTACTTTTCCTTCTGGCTCCTTCTTGTTCTTTTTCTTCTCCTTCCCCAGGCTCCTCCTTCTTCTTCCTCAAAGCTTCCTCCTTGCTCAGGCTCCTCCCTCTCCTCCTCATCTGCCTACGCGTATCCGGTGTGAAAAGAACCATGGAGGATGACTTGGCTGATAGCTGAGTCTATGAAGTTCCCCAGTCCGGACAGTCCCCAGTCAGTGTTAGACAGCAGCGGAGGCCACACGACTCATTCTCTGTGTACTCCAGGAGGCCCCCAGTCACTCCTCATCTTGTTTTCGTTACCAACTCGTCTGCACAGAGAGTAACGGAAACAAACTATTTTATAAACGATACGTGAATGAACTGTCGGAACGAATTATGTATTAGTTGAAAACACGCAAATGTTTAAGGTAAGTTGGACATTGAAACAAGCAAATGTTCTTTAAGATAAGGGAAAATATTTGCTACACAAGGCTGCCTGGGGGGAGCACCTCACCCGTTGTTTCCGTACTGTAATAATTTTGGCCTCAGTCTTATAATTTATCTTCAGTGTTTATCAGTATACCATCTCTTACTCTCACTGAAATATTCGTGTAATTGTGATATGAATTGCAAAATTATCTAACGGATGGAAGGAACTTGAAATCGGCGTCATGTAGTGTAGATGATGAATATGTTACCCGTTAGTTCATGAGAGGTGAGTGACATGATGCGTGTGACGCGTTTTACAGGACGAGTTTTTACGCATGTATTGTTGCGTTTACCGCTACTTGCACTCAATAAACAGTGTATGTATTGTTGCTATACTTCGACAGGCGTTGTATGTATAGTAGCATTAACCTACTTTGACTAACTTTGTATGTCCCGTAAAGTTGTATTTACCGTTACTGTACTTTACTGGGAAACGTAGGAGGGAGGGGCTTCACAGGGTAACAGAAGGGTTTGAATGGCGAACCCTCAAGCCCATTGTGGTCATAAACATCTTCTTTACCATAAGTGATTATAGGAAATTCCTTCTTACTTGGGGAAGCAAAGGGTCAAAGGCTGCTTCTCTTGGATTTCGCCATTAAGATTATTTTGAAGCCTTGCCCAGGGAATATACTGTAGCGGTGTAAGTTTCTTGCTGTCTTTTGCTGTTGATGTTACAGGCCGGGGCCGAGGGGGGGGGGGTGAGTTGGTTGTAGTGTGCAGGGGAGACAAAACTTAGTTTATAATTGAGTAACTTTTGGGAGATGTTACTTTTATACACTAATTTATACTTCATCAGTAGCCCATCGTTATTAGTGACTTGGCAAACACAAAAAAGAGCATAATCAATGATAACTGTAAATAGCATATGTAAAACTATTAATGATGTAATAAGACAATGTACTTATTAAGAAAATTATTGACCGCTGGCTTATTTCCGCACATTCTTATATGTAGTTTCATGTATTATTAATGTTTTGATCAAATTTTTACGTAAAACTCCCTACTCAGTCTCTTCATATGTTCAGGAAAGGAAGAGTATGGCTGTCGGCTGCCTGTAAATCATGCGGATGTTAAGGCACGGAAACATATTATGTACAATATAATTAATATTAGAAACTCGGCTTTATAACTTAATGTGATCTAAATAAAAAAGCTTAATTTTGACGCTTCTGTGATTCCTTCTAAATAACTTCTGTTGCTGTTCTTGCTCATGTAGGTATTGGGGGAAGTGTCGTAGCTAACGGAGGTAGGGCGGGAAGATGGGCTGACTCCAGAACGGTACATCCGATGACAAACTTCAGCTGGTGTCGCCACGCTCACCACGGTTGATCATGATGTGACATAGAGGAGCTGTGTCTACCTTTTGTTGTCACTTGATCGTAATTATTTGTGTTATAGATTAAGTTCATCTGCACATACTTAAGATGACTTATGATTGCTTGTATTGCAAACTCTAAGGAACTTTAGTCCAGGTTGTACTTGGACGAGAAAGAGAGGTCGTCGAGTGGTAAGGGGAGGAAAAACATCATTGGGAGAGGGGGAAGTGCATGAGGGATGTCTTTTATAATGATATATAATTATGAGGAGTCAAGTGTGTGTGTGTGTGTGTGTGTGTGTAGACAGCACAATATATAATTATTGTAATGGTAATTTCAATCATCGAGACAATAAATAATATAATGATTTTCAATGTTACAGTGAAAGCAAAAATATAAAGATGTCGCAAAATAAAATACAAATATTCTTAGTTTGCATTGATGTCACAACTCCCACAATCCTTTGCGCGGTTCACCATCTTGTATGTATAGACATGTTGCATTATGGGAGTATGTGACGTCATGTGAAAATTAAGAATGTTACATGATACAATATAATCAGGTAAACTTTACCCAATGTCATTAAAAACGATGACCATGTGTGATCTCTCAATAAACACAATAAAAGTGACCTTGTGCTATTTTCTGACTCCAGAAGGTGTTGGCTTGGTGCAGATGAAGGAAGGTGCGCCAGCTAGCTAATAGTTGAACTGACGGTCTTCCATGGCACAGGAGCTGCTAAGAATGTTGAGTCAAGGAGCCTCCTCTCTCCCACGTATGAATCGCTCACTTAAAATATTTCAGAAAAAGAGATATGTCGCCGTTTTATTGCTTCTCACGATAATCTTACTAATATATACAGACAATACCACTGTGAAGTACAAGGAAGTGGTTTTTTCCCGAGGGGACAATGGTGAGGCGAGGGGGATCCAGACAGACGATATGCCTGGGCCTCTTAGGGATGTTGCTGGAGCGTACGGGAGACAAGAGCCAAGCAGTCACCCCTCATATTCTGAAGTGCTCTCAGGGCCTAGAAACATAAAAAAGCAGTATATTGGTAATAAATTGGGTGATGGTCCAAGTGTAAAAGAAACAAATGAGAACAGAGAATCAAATTTTGCCATCAATATCTTGTCAAAGAACAAACAGCTAAAAGGGAGTGAGAACGAATCGAATGACATTCATATGGGCAATAACACGGAGAGGCTGAAAAACTTGTCACGGATTAATGAAATAGAAAATTTAGACCATGAAGAAACACATATAGAAGAGAAAGAGGGTGAGGTGTATCAGGTAATGGAACCTTTGTCCGCTGTGCCCACCGCAACCATTGTGCCGCACAAAAAGACCATCAACAAATCACTTTCTTTTGACAGAGCTCAAGGATCTTCGCCACAGAAAACTGTCCTATTTTATGATCGCTTTTTCTATAATCCCTGGCAACCTTTCGTAGAAAAAATGACAAAACTTAAAGGAAAGAACTGCCCTGTAACCAACTGCGTCTTCATCTACAACAGCTCACACCCAGAAGACGCCGACGCCGTCATCTTCCACGCCGCTGACTTTAACCCCAAAAATGTTCCAAAAATCCGGAAGCCGCAACAGAGATACATCTGGCTGAACCTAGAATCTCCCTCAGGGAAAAACTTGACCAACTCTCAGTCAATGCAGAATTTAATCGACGAGAGATGGTTCAGTAAAGAAGGCTTCTTCAACTGGTCTTATACTTACCACAGAGACTCAGACCTTCTCTTACTTTATGGCGGTCTGGAATCCTTGAGAGGTTGGTCACTAAGAATTTTTATCTAATGCACTTATAGTATGTGCCATAATTTTTTTAGGATATTGTTCTCTAGTATTTATATCCTGGCAACATCTTCTATTCATCCGTGTTAATAATCATCTAATGCCTAAAATAAATTTGAAGTTTAAAACTAAAGTAAAAAGATAATAAAGTCTCTAAACAAGATAAGAGGCGTGCAGGGAACTCTGGTAATGTCTGAACAGTCAGTGTGGGATATGTTTGCATGGAACATGTTAGACAATTTAACGTGCAAGGTTTCTCAGAATATTAGAACAGTAATAATGTAAAAATTGTGCCACTTTTTGGACCTTTCAAAAATTTAATTGATTACACTTGTTCTCTCTTGACCGTAGGCGAGAGAGACCCTACCCGGCCCGGTCTCATAGACATTTCTGGACCCACGTACAAGGATTATATAACGGCTCTTGACGGCGGAGACCAGCTGATGGATGATCCCAACCATGACTGGCCCTCCTTCTTCACCAGGCCCAAGATGTTAATCTGGATGGTATCTCACTGTAGTACCCACTCTGGTAGGTTTAATGTCTCACTGTAGTTCCCACTCTGGTAGGTTTAATGTCTCACTGTAGTACCCACTCTGTTATGTTTAATGTCTCACTGTAGTACCCACTCTGGGAGGTTTAATGTCTCACTGTAGTACTCACTCTGGTATGTTTAATGTTTCACTGTAGTACCCACTCTGGTAGGTTTAATGTTTCACTGTAGTACCCACTCTGGTAGGTTTAATGTTTCACTGTAGTACCCACTCTGGTAGGTTTAATGTTTCACTGTAGTACCCACTCTGGTAGGTTTAATGTTTCACTGTAGTACTCACTCTGGTAGGTTTAATGTTTCACTGTAGTACCCACTCTGGTAGGTTTAATGTTTCACTGTAGTACCCACTCTGGTAGGTTTAATGTCTCACTGTAGTACCCACTCTGGTATGTTTAATGTTTCACTGTAGTACCCACTCTGGTAGGTTTAATGTCTCACTGTAGTACCCACTCTGGTATGTTTAATGTCTCACTGTAGTATCCTGTCTAGGTCAAGTCGAGCGTTCATCGTAGTAGTAGTGTATAGCAGTCAGCAGGTCTAGTAGGTAGGGTGGTGAGAGACGCACGTGTGATAAAATGTTGAAGAGTGTGTGTGTATGTGTGTGTGTGTTCTCATGGGATATCTGTCACTCTCACCTGTCAGGATGCATCTGGTTATTTAAATTCTTTACAACCTACGGTACTGTCACAAATCACTAACAGGTTGAGATAGACGAGGTACATCTACTTTATTTCTTTATGTCTGTGAACCAGTTGCATTTTTTGACACCCCGTTTTCAAAATACTGTACCATCATCGTAACACGCTGCTCTGACCTCATCGACGTTTTCGGCTGCAGATATTTCAACCCCAGATGTTGTAGCGTGGCGAGGCTCGAGAATGTCCAAGCTGAAACATTTACTTTGTTAAAACATCTGTGGCCGAAACGTACATGGATGACAAGACGGTGATTTTTAGGTCGAGAGTTCTACGTGAAGAAACTTCAAGAATACCTGCCCGTGGACGTGTACGGCCTGTGTGGTGACCTCCGCTGCGACAAGAACAACAAGGACCTTTGCTATGCTGACGTTCTCAGACCCAAGTACAAGTTCTACCTCTCCTTCGAGAACAACATGTGCGATGATTATATCACAGAGAAGGTAAGTCACGAGGAAGAGGAATTACTTAATGTGTGGGACTAAAGGTGGGGATACGAAAAAAACAAAAAGTGAGGATCGCATACATTATTGTGGTCATACTATAAACAGAATCTAACAATGTATTTCTTCATCTTATTTGTGATCATCATACTCATAGAAGATCTGGGAAAATGAGATTCTTTATGTCTAGCAGGAAACAGCGAGAATAACGTTATAAAAGTCCTTTCATACTTAGACCGTGAGCACATTTGACAAGACACTGTTGTGCATCGCGTTAGGGGGTTTAGGAATGTAATGGCAAGGTCTGTGCCTATTTCCATAATATCTTGGAGTACATACACATCTTTATACGTAAACCAATTTATACCCTGTGAAGACATTCCTCCAATGCACACGTACGTACATACATACATACCTTCACAAAATTATTTCTTTTACAGACAAACACGTATTTTGTTCATCTGTACTTCGAGCAGGTGTTGGGTCATTACAAGTGTAAGATCATTATCGGTGTTTACTGGTGTGGGATAATTACAGGTATTGACAAGCGTTGGGTCCTTACAGGTGTGGCTGCCGATGAACTACGGGCTTGTGCCAGTGGTGTTTGGGGGTGCCAACTACTCCCGTTTCCTGCCACCACACTCTTACCTGGATGCCACTCAAATGACCCCCGCTCAGTTGGCTACCTCCCTTATCAGGTAACTCTTGTCACTCACACCCTCACCAGAAATGTCATCTTGAAAGGTTATCGTCTCTCTTGGGCTAAAGTCTTAAAAGAGTCTTACGATAATCGGTTTTTTTTCTTTTTAAGTCAAATAAAAAAAACAAAAAAAAAACAAGTAACTGGTTCTTATTAAGTTTCTAAGATGGTATCCAATATGGTGACTGAATTATAATGAGATTGTTATAACAATGTTTGTTGTCCGAATTCCATTTAGAGAACGTACGTAATGACCGATCCATTAAAAGGTGTGTGTGTGTGTGTGTGTGTGTGTGTGTGTGTGTGTGTGTGTGTGTGTGTGTGTGTGTGTGTCACTCTACAGATGATCAGCCTTGGTCCATCCATTGCTCGTTTGTCTTGGGGTGTTGGATGAAAAGTCAAGTGGACGCCAGATACTCTTAACACTCGCTAAATTTAATTACTGAACAAAAACGTTAGCCTACCCCAGTTAGCTTTTTTTATATAGGAAGTTAAGGTTTAAGGTTAGGTTAGGTTAGGTTGCAGCAATAGAGGTGCTGACCGTATATTTTGTAATTCAAGTGTTAGTGTTTGACCGATGCACTGAAGATTCCCAAAAAAAATTATGGACACGAGAGACGTACAGTACAGAGGAGGGTAGGGGGGGGGGGGTGTATCATGTAACATTGAACTTGTGATGAAAACAACTGAAATTAGCAGAACTCTTCACGGAAAGTGTAAACAAGAAGACATGACAGTAAGGAGACGTGAATGTGAGGAGTAAATTGCATCGCTAGTTCAAGATGGGGCCATGAAACATATCCTAGTGATTAATAACACTGTACGTACTTCTACTCTTGGTATATACTTCCGCTGGAAACATCAACTCGCCAAGATAATGATGATGATGAAGAATTTTGGTGCTCTTAAGCTTGATAACTTGAGCACATTATACGAATGGTGGTAACTTGCGGGGTCTTTGACACGTATTCAGGTCGGTGCATGAACAAATATTCACTGGACAAATCTCTCACTCACTGGTTTGGGTAGCAATAGGTTTGGTTAGGTTAGGTTAGTGCTCGTCTAGGATAAGTTAGTTAAGGTAGGCTAGGTTAAATTATATTAGGTTAAGTTATATTAGATTAGCTAAAGTTAGGTTAGATTAGGTTCGGTAAGTTATTGCCCAGTGAACTTTTGTCTTCAGATCTTGTGTTTACTCATCCTTACGCTGGAACCGTTACCCACTCAGCCCACCCAGGGTCTAGTGGCGCGGATGAGGCAAGATTCCTCCCGATAGAGAAACGTGTTTATCCTCGAGATTCAAACGCAACATTATCATATCCAACACCAATTATTGTCGTTGAGAAGTTGATTATGATGAATGTATTCGTATATGAATGAAGTGAGATAGAATATTCTGTAGGTTTGGTGAGGTTAGTTTATCCAAAGTTGTAAATTAGGTTAACTCATTGTGGATCTCTTGTGTTATAATGTTATGTGTACCTGTATATGGTTCAGGTATATTTCATCAGGTTAGATAACGTTTGATGTTACTCACATCAGATTAAAGCTGTTAGATCAGTTTACTAGCGTCGGTTACTTATGGTTATATAAGGTAACTCACAACCAAGAATAACTGATGTTGTCAAATTAGGTCAGGTTAGGCACCAAGGGACCGTCTATAGCTTTCTTTTATGCATAAAATAGAGGAGTTATTTTTCTTTACCATTTATCATTTTATTTCATCCATACACACAAAAAAAATCTTACTTGATGGAATGTACGTAATTTTCCGTTCTAATTTTATGACTCATTTCCTCTCATAAAATAAAGAGAAAAATTAAGAATTAAAAAAATCAACATCTGTGTTTGATCATGGATATAAATGTTCTCACATATGAACTAAAATATTAAGTTCTAAGAGATACAAAGATTTATCAGACTAATTACATTACTGTATATAACATTACTACTGTCTCTCAAACTCTTAAGAAATAAAGACAAAAAAAACCATCAGTGATATTATTTCTCATGTACGTATCCTCTATTCAGGATAAACAGCTCCTCTCAAGAGTACGGTCGCTACCATCTGTGGAGACGTTATTGGCAAGTGTTACAACATCTGCCCATGTGTGAGCTGTGTCAGAAGCTACACGAAGACAAGACGAGCACAGCTATACAGCACTTAGGCCCCTGGTGGAGAACGGTCAACAAGTGCTGGACCCAGTACCCTGAGCACAGTTACCCGCGCCGCCCAGAGCCCGACACCAGGACTTTCACCCAGAAGCTTACCGAATCCGTTCATCTGATAGGCAGCCTCTTTAGTGGAGCGATGAACAGCCTACAGTAATGCCTGCGTACACCTCTACAGGCTGACGGCCACTTGCACAATTATACACATAACCGTATTAGACCACATACGAGTATGCATTTTTATTAATATCCACACACACACACACTACTACTACTACTACTAATCGAGTATGGCGATCATCCAGCTACGATACAATGATATGAGCTATTAAGGATGTCACCTTTCTTTGATGAGTTCTGAGGTGACTAAAGAGGCCGATACGAGACCGGCATGATCGTCCACACTCCAGAACATAAGAACATAAGAATGGAGGAAACCGCAGCGGGCCTATTGACCCATACTGCGCAGTCCCGTTTATACCCAACCCCTATTGCTCATATAAGCATCCAACCTGTGTTTGAAGCTATCCAGCGTATTCGAGTTAATGATGATATTTGGTAACTTGTTCCATTCATCCACTCCTCTGTTTCCAAACCAATGTTTACCTATTTCACGCCGAAATCTAAATTTGTCTAATTTAAAACCATTGTTACGAGTTCGCTCCTGGTTGGATGGTTTGAGTACCTTTGTAATGTCCCCTTTGTTTAACTCTGACTTCCATTTATACACCTCTATCATGTCGCCCCTCACTCTACGGCTCTCGAGGGAGTGCAAATTAAGATGCTTTAACCTGTCTCTGTACTCAAGGTTCCTAATGCCAGGGATTAGTCTTGTCATTCTCCTCTGGATGCTTTCCAAGGATTCTATATCCATTCTGCAATACGGTGACCAGAACTGAACTGCGTAATCCAGGTGAGGTCTCACAAGCGCGAGATATAATTTTAAGATGACCTCGCTAGCCTTGTAACTAACACTCCTTTGAATGAACCCAAGTACTTTATTAGCCTTGTTACGAGCAAAAACACATTGTTTACTTGGCTTAAGATTCCTACTTATCATTACTCCTAAATCTCTCGCAGTCGGATTCCACAATGGCATCGTTGTTCATCTGATTTAAAATTGCGCTACCATTCTGTTTTGCCTTGTAATGATATGTTAATTTTTCTTGTAAATATATTAGTTTGTTTTAATATGTATTTTTCATTCTGGGTATCTTCTCCTTTACAATTAAACAACAATTGACCTTTTGAATATTACAAATCAGTATTCCCCCTAACTTGACATAGATCTGTAGTTACCAAGAGGAGTGAACAGGATCTTGGTGCTCTGGGATATAACTGACGCGAGGTAAAACAGAAACCTAAATCCAGAGAGCGAGATAGAGCCATGCCACACCCAATACATATATAAAAAAGGTAATAAAATACACTAAAGAAACTATGGAGTATTCCCCTTACTATCATACGCAGGGAATATGTGAGAAAACTTGAACACCGACATAGACTTAGATGAGGACAGATATTGGGAAAGACATTATGGCTATGGACTTGATTTTTGCTGTGATAATACTCACTAGAAAAACATGATAGCGAGCAACTTGTGATATTCTTCAACCTTGAGCTGGCTCATGTGTGTCTTTGAAACTCATTGTGCAGGGAGCACTAGGAAATCAGTATCAAAAATTTTCCGTGCTACTATAGTGTGCGGTTTACAAAGATATTAGTCTAACCTAACCTAACCTTATCTAACCAAACCTGACCTAACCTAACCTAACCTTATCTAACCAAACCTGACCTAACCTAACCTAAGCTAAACTTAACCTAAATATCTTGTAGACCGCATGCTATAGTAGCACGGAAAATATTCTGTTTTTTAAAGCTATTTAAGCCTCTATCGTAAGTGTAAGAGTATGGTTTTGTATCGCAACTGGAAAACAAACACATAATTTACTCGAAGGTGAAATGTACTGTAGTTCCATCACATATAACGACGGTGACACCAGTGTTAAGTTACGTAAATATGTTAAGTAATATTGTGTCTCGGTACTGCCTTAGATTAATGGAACACGCTATATGGCAGTGTTCTTGATCATGGACCCCAAGGAACTTCTTCAGCAAAACATTCGATGGTTCCACAAATAACCAAACGCTCACCACCGAACACACAAATACAATAGATCTACACAAAACAACAAATATTTACAACAAACAAATTATAATGAAAAAAGACAGTTTTGAATTCACCTCAGAGTGTATTGGCACCAGCTATCGTAAAGAGATAGAATAATGGTAAGATTGGGTTAAAATAAAGGTAAATGGTTGAAAATTGACTAGGGCGTGAGATAAGGATGGTTATTGCGTATTTCCATTTGTGTTTATCTAATTCAGAGACACCGTGGTGTGATCTGCTTGCCGGAAGGACAGAAGAAGTGACCATGGACACACGTATCATAATCCTCTAAGATCAAATTTTATGGAGGGTCTTAAAAGTGAAGTTAAGAGATGAAAACATTATTCAGAAAGGAAGGGAATGACGTGATAAAGAAGGAGATATCAACGGATGTCGTTACCCACGGCGTTTTCAGCGTTTTCCTGTCCATGGCGTCATCACCATTCTGGCATGTATTCATAGATGAGGCAGTAGGTGGATGTGAGTTTGTATTAGAAGAATTTTAAACAAAGTAGAACACTATCTGTATGATATGGACACAAAGTAGTACCTTAAGCTGTGTACCCTTATATTACTCCATTAATTATGTATAGTAAAGTATTACAGAACAAGTATTAATTCTATGTAATATTCCCATTTATTGTGCAACATGTTAAGTATATAAACTATCTTATTTACATTGTATGTATTTAGCTTGTGAATGCTGGCATCTGTACATCCCAGCGCGCAGTAATACATAGAGTGAAGACTGCCAGTCCTTGTGGTGCGGAAGTGAGCTTCTTGGTCCCTTTGTATATATATCTCCCGTACGAGAATAGAACCTACTTTTAAGAGAACAAGTGTTTGTGTATACCCTCAGTAGTATAGAACATTTTGTGGGTATCAAGACGAACACAGACTAGCTAAGTGCGTACTGATAAGGAGTATCTCTCGGAAAAGGTGATTTTAGCACGAGCCATTAACCGAACTTCAAAGAGCACTGGAGGAATCATTGGAGACAGAAGACGTTATAACAGAAAAAAAGGATTGCTGTAAGTCCACTCACTCAAGATATTTAATTTCTCTCGAGTCACATGATACGGAAAGTTTGAAAGTCCATATTTCAGTAACGTGCAGGCTTTGGGAATGTTTCCCTGACCTTTCTTTAACCCTAAATGGTGCCCTGACTTGAACTGTCTATATATAGTACATTATATGTATATGCACTGTTTTTGTACATTGCGTATCTTCACTGTGAATATACAATACATGCTAAATCAATGTAAATTTGTTTGGTGATTTTACTGAATAAATATCTATCTATATATCTGTGGCGTACCCGTAGTAAAGGGGCGAGTGACGATAGCGTGTTTTTTTTTTTTTTTTTAGAATCTGTAACTCACTAAAGATTCTGCAAGATAATACCTGCAGTCCTCTAAAGGAGTGAAATGAGTGGAGCATCCTTTGTTCTCTTACTATTGCTGTGGAAGTCGTCGACAGCGGACGCACGGCTAGTTTCCTCTCAGTATCTCTCAAAAGGTAAAGTTCCATTCTTAAATAACCATAAAACAGTTTTTGGAGTATTTAAGTGGCTTTGGTTAATTGACTGGCTGAATGATATACTGAATGGCTGAAAAACTGATAATACTGCATGTTTCATCCTGGGTGTCATTATAGAACTCCCGTCTGACTTCTGGTGAAAATACGAGCTGATAGTAACAACACGTAGATGAGATTGTGACTGGTGGATTTTTACAATATCATTTACTGTTGAATTACCAGTCAATTTTAACATCAAAATTTCTAAGACTCATTAGTTGGCTAAGAATAAGAATATAAGAATAACGGTAACTGCAGTATGACTATTGGTTCACACTAGGCAGCCCTTATCACTTATATCTGTCCAACCTACAATATAACAATATATTTGAAACTTCCCACCGCGTACGAGTTAATGATGGTGTTTAGTAACTTGTTCCACTCATCCACAGCTCTATGGTAGTGAACCAATGTTTAGCTAATTCCTCTCTAAATATAAAATTCTCTAATTTAAAAGCATTGCTGTATTCACTCCTAATATGATAGTTTAAGTACCTAAACTTCATTACTTTTATTTAACTCCATCATCCATTTATATTTGTGTGAACGCCCATATCTATGTTTCTAATATAAATAGAAGCAGCCCGAGTACTGAGCCTTGGGGAACGCGATTTTATACCATTTGCTGCTATTTCTGTCCATTAACTATGACCTAATTCAATCTAGAATTTGCTCTCCAATAACATGTGTCTCTAGTTTTCTTATTAGTCTTTCATGAGGGACCCTATCAAAGGATCTAGTGAATTCGAGGTATATCACATCTTAGTCGTGCCCATCGTCCATAGATTCGAAAACGCTTGAAAAGGATGATAATAATAGACTTGTCAGACACGAACGCCCTCTGACAAAACCATGTTAAGAGCCATTAATTAACTTGTATTTTTTTTAAGGTGTTTTCATGTCGAATTAGTAACCATTGCTTCCAATAATTTTCCCACAATTAATGTTAAACCAACTGGGCGATAGTTTGAGGACAGTGATGTATATCTCTTTTTGAAAATCGGTATTACATTCGCTGTCCTCTAGGATTCTGGCACATCATCCGATTTTAGTGACACTGACATGAAACACACAATATGTAAAATAGCTTCCTGTCACTATTGAGCCCCTAAAACAACACCATACACACACGTACCTTAGCTAGTACAGGTTTGTAATGCTGGATGCTTGGTGATAGTGGTAGTGGTGGTAAAGGTGGTGGTGGTAGTGGTGGTAGGAGGTTGATAGTGATAATGTTAGTCATGGTGGTGATAGCCATGCTACGAGTAAAATTAGTTAAAAACTTATCTGAATGATTTTGCTAAGCATTTGATCATTACACTGTCCAAATTTCAGCTTCCTAGCTCAAAAAGTGCCTGAGATATCGTCAGGACAACCATCCAACCAACCAACCACTGGTGACAACATTCAGTCAGGGTTAGATAGTCTGAAATCTATCCAGACAATATAACAAGGATACGTTATCTTAAGTGAGATGAGAGTGCATCCTGAACCGCTGAGCCGATGATGTTTATACCATCGGCTAATATTTGAATCTTAATTGTTGCTAATTTGGCGGACAATTTTGGTCTCATTTTGCTCAATATTTGAAGCTTAATCAATGGAAATATTCCTTTTTTGTGGAAACACGAAAAATATTATTTTTTCAAGTATCGAGTTGAGAAGTTTCTGTCAGCGGGGAAAGTTATCAACTGAAGATAGTATCGTCCCAGCCTCTCTGAACTTTTGATCATGCTCCGCACCAGCCACTCTGTGACTTCACTGCGTGACATGTGACTAAGGTTAGGTTAGGTTAGGGTTGGTAAGGTCATGATTTGCTGCTTTTAAATGGTAAACGGTCGTAGTAACGAAAACAAAAACACGATTCTTTTTAACTTTGTTATTCTCAACTCGAAGTGAAAATAACACCCCTTTTCACCGTTTCCACCAAACAAAGACTATGTCCATTGCATTAAGCATCAAATATTGAGACCAAAATTGTCCACCAAACTAGCAACAATCGAGATCCAAATAATTACCACACCATCATAATTTCGGATTCCTGGTCGTTCTTCTAGTATGGCTTATGAACAGAATACATAAACTACTGGAGACGTAGAACTGGTTGTTTGAAAGTTTGTACCATCTCAATACTGTAGTATGGAAGTAGTCAGTACGTCTACTAAGTTTTGGTGCGGTCAAGCTCTTTCCGTGTTTTGAAGAGATCTCTTGGCTTATTTAACTTAATTCTTTTTACATCACCGCGTTACTTTTTGCGACATACCAAACAATGTTAAATCCCTCGTGTACCTACCGGGATGAAATCAGATCAACATGCAAATTAAAACTATGTATAAACTATCTTATAAGGACATAAAGGTAAGAGTGGCACAGTACTACAACATCATTACTGAAGTAAGTTATCTGTTGTTTGTGCAGGTAGATGTGACGCCTCTTAACCATTTTGCCTGAACACAAAGCGAATCGACGGAGTGGTGCTCTGTGATGGTTGACCCAGGGAGGATGGTGACCATTGAAATGCTACAACCCTGCTGGTGGTTGGTGGTGGTGATGATCATCCTTTCTGTGACAACACCCTGCCCTTCACATGGTTAGTTATGGTGTGGTGAACAGGGAACTTTTTGAAGAATTAATAGTCAAAATTTTCTGATAAATGTTTACTTCACATAAATAAACAATAGAAAAAGTTGGGTGGGAGATTCACAACACTGATGTGTACATAACATTTTTTGACCACATGTAGATTGTCGTACCTTTATGTGCTCACCTACTGGATATTACTATCATGAAGTAATATTATTTCCTTTTTACAGAATGTCATACGGCAAGGGGAAATTATATTTCCATTCCTTTCTGTGGGAAGGACGCAGCATATTGCTGGTATTCCCTCTGGACCATTAATAATATCCAAGTGAGGCTGCCAGGAAAAAAGAACATAAAGATAGCGGTAAACATGACTGAAGCTGAAACTATACAATGCCAGGAAATCATCATCAAAGGAAACCCTACTGAGGAAATGAAGAACTCAAACACTGATTATCTCAAGGGCTTTATAACAATACCGACACTCAACTTATTAACAGATTTTTCTTATCCACAACAAAAAAGGATTGTGTATATACAAATTTCAAGTAAAAAAATCAGTGATCTTATTGGAAACAGTGGCGACATGTCTTGTGGTAAGTTATTCACTCCACCTCGTGTGTCATGATGAGTACGCAAACGTGTCACTTGTTACCCTCCATCATCAGTTATATGTTAAAGGGATAAATAAATTGTAAAATATTCTTGTTCTATTCTTCACTTTCAGGTTGTCTTCAATATTCTTTAGTTGCTCCCCCAGAGGTGAGCAGAGAGACAACCACCAACACATCAACCACCATCACAACAACCACCATCACAACTGTTGGAGGTAATATATGCGTGAATCTGTCTACCTTTATATTTCTGCTTACTAAGGCCAGTCCACACGACCGAGCAGTGCCCGGCGGGCACGCGCTAAATGCCGGTTATCGGGCAAAATTGGCGGGCAAACCAGCGTAGTGCCCGTGCCCGTCGTTGAGTGAAATCATGGTCAGCCTGTCTGGTGGTTTGCTGCCGGATATGGAGAGACGACTCTGCCAGACAAACGAGTTGACCCTGGGACCCCTTCACAAATATTAATATGTTTTAATATCATTTTCATTATTAATAATCGATAAAACCGGAAAACCGACATTCCTATAATATTGTCTTAACATTCAATATTACACAAGCCTGCAATACAAGACAAGTGTTATTATTGGAACCTCAAGTGACTGTCAAAAACAGCTGATCACTACGCCACCGCTGACCTCGGGGGTCGGGGTCCTAAGTCGGTGAGGTATGAACAGAGATACTGACAGAACGTATGCTAGCACTTTGTAAAACCTGAGTTAAGTACTGCAAATGTGATACGTATATGTTCCCCGCTCGGTCCAGATGTCCAGTGTATAACCAAATAAGCTTATGCAATGTACATTATTGGCGTGACAATAAACGGGAGACTGTTTATGTATTATGTAATGAGGACATTCGTGTGTGTTCTTCGTTCCTGCCGCTCTCCTCACTCTAGTCCCATAGCTTCCTGTCTATGCATATCATAATTCTAACATTATTCAATGAATTTCTATGTATTACAAATCTCACCTGCAAGTAATCTTCCTTGAGTATTTCATACATGGCTTGACAAGTTGCAGATATTATGCGAGACAAACTTTGTTTTAATACCCTCGTTCTATACTGAAGTGACGTGTAGGTGCACCCAGTTGAAAGATATATGAGCGTTGCCTCTAGACGAGCCTCTGCAGATATACTCTCCCTCATGTACAGTAGGTATCCGGTTTTTTTATATATGGTCCCACTTTCGCTAGAAGTTTGTAAAATGTGTTGGGGTCCATTGTCATGTAATTGGTGAAGTCCTGCTCATGTCCATCTTGCAGTTCACGCAAAATCGTGGCATGACTTCCCAATACTTTTCTTCGACCTAACCACTCTTTGCACCATTCCCTTTTCTGCATTTGGTTATTCTTTTTGCACATAGAAGCAATTATTACAGTACACAACGCTATGCTCTTCGCTTTAACTGTCCGGCGATTATTCCTGCGACACACCATGGTGATCGTACCGCACCCGCCATTGCCGACCACCTACTAGCTACAGGCGCCCGACTATGACTGCCGCCAACCACCCCCGTGTGTACAACAACACACAGGCTTTGCCCGCCGGGCACTGCTCGACGTGTGGGCGGGGCTTTACGCATTAAGGTTTGTGCACCAGTCTTTATTCTTCATTTGTACGGTTGTGTGTTTGTTGTAGCACTTATTCACTTTTGTGCTGTTAATATTATCTGCCTGTTCTCTTTGAAGATCAAGTTCTCCTTTGTTTTTTATCAGACTTCGTATTTATTGATATATTCTTTGTTTTTAAACGATATTCAATTATTTGTTTCATGCTTATGAATATACACATGTAACTGGAGAACTTTAACCGAGTAATTTTCCGTTTTCCTTTATTCTAGATTCCTCTTTCATATAACTTGCAAACACTTGTGGTTGACATGACACAAATTATGTAAACAAACATTGATGTGTCTATTAATAACGTTAAACTAGTTGTAATGAATCAGAATAATTTCTGCAGATAACACGTTTTTATTGCATTCAAGAATTACTAAATGTCTGATATATACTTTTTTCATTTACTGGATATATTTTTGGAAGCTAAACATTTCCAGATAATATGAAACAGTGATCGTTTATATGTAATGAAAAGTGGGTAATGTTTTTTTAAAAACTAAATATTTTATCGCTCTGGATATATGAACCTCTTTTTTGCTATTTTGGAAAAGTACATATTTATGTTAGCTGACGGAAGTATAACAGTTATGCTGAAATTTTGACTTCCATTAAACTTTTTATCAGAAAATTATTGGTGGATTGGTCTAGTGATGGTGTTGATCAGCGTGGGTGTCTCTCTCCTCTTCTACATATTTGCATGGAAACGAGGCCCCCGAAAAACTCACCTTCAGGGGTACGACTTCGAAGATCCTATTTACGATGATATAATGTAGAAGAAGAGTGTGTCAGGAGGCAGACGGAGGTCAACAGGAGGGCCACACGTGAGCAGCGAGGGTCTAGTTATCACACTGAGAACCGTCTCTATGCCTCCTGTGTCAAGACAACTAGACAACAGCACGCCATAGAGTATATCAATTACGAGCAGTTGGTGGCTGTGTGGGGAGCCTCATGCTTCTTGATACAGATGATCTACCAGCATATAGGCAGGTCAGCCCCATACCTCACCCGGCCATCAACACTCCTGCTGCATCGTGATCTCTAACTAGCAGAGGACCATCTGTTCTCACACAGGCACTTACACTACCAACAGAATGAGGACAATAGCGAGACTAAACGACGGTACCGACCACAGTAAAACTCTACATACAGTGATAAACACTTATTCGTATCAACATCATTTAGAATGTAAATAATGTTCATGATAAGTCATGTCATTCCTTTGGTTCTCATAATTCTACTTGACTTTGTCTTAGTCAGTCATGTGGGCTACTAGGTTAATATGTTCTCCCAATGATATAGAGATAATAAACTAAGTTGTCTACTTTATAAGGCATTTTGAACACTACAACCTTACTGTGATTGGCCCTGGGTAGTATTGATGATGCTCAGCAAGAGAACATTTATTGATGCTATACTGATTTTTACCATTATTAACCACTATGTAGCTATGAAGTATATTATATAAATCACTATTTTAATTTATAATGAAGAAGTATTTAGTCTTTCCAGACAGGATTAATTCTTAAGGCTACTAACATCTCCTCATGTAAGAACAACAAACTTTTAAATATAGAGTTTATCTTTTAAAACGTGCAGTGCTTTTTGCGTACTGTAGGAGTTATAATAGAAATTAGCTCAAATATGTTACAAGAAATTCCTGTTTCATTTAAAATGTTTATTACCATAACATAATGAAACTTCCTACTAATTAATTTAAAAAGGTAAGTAGGTAAAAATAAGTAAAACAGAAACTGCTAAAACATCAAATGTTTCAGTATGAAGAACACATAGAACCAGAAGCGAGTTTAAGGTAGGTACAATTGTGGGCCTCAGAGTAGTGCAAAAAATCCTGAGATGTGAGGATCTGTGTTGTACTTTTACCTTATGTTTAGTACAAGGAAAACTGAAGCTGTTGTATACAGACTGAAACATTTATTAATTATGCACAGAATTAGAGCATCAACTAGCCTACTGTACAGAGGGGACCCTTAAGAAAATTACACCTAGCAGTGTTAAATACGCGTCTGGGGACAGTACCTCCCTCACCACCACCCGTACACACACACATACCTGAAGCTGAATGCCAAATTTCTTATTGTCTAATGATTATCTCCTAGTAATCCCAAACTAATACTCGGAGTTAGTCAATACTTTTCTCCTAAAGACTTTGAACACGTGATAGAAGAGGTGGATGTAAAGCACCACTGTACAAGAGGATATAAAGCACCACTATTTGCACATAATGTAATGTTATATATTGAATGTATGTACAGTTGCCTCAAAGAGTTCCTTTACCCCTTGTGGTGACGTTTTCGTAAATGTGGCACCATCGCAATACTACTGTAGAGTGAACGTATGAGATAATCCGTAGTCGTCGCCTTCTAACAATGGAAATGAATGGTGGAAAAGATACCTTGACGTAATTTCGCTTGGCAATAATAATAAATAGATATATAAATGCAATATAAACTCGATATAATAATATACACATAGATGTTTCTTACAAGGAAGAGTACCAGTATAAGTGATAAAGATTTACAAATAAAAGCTACATGAGGAAATTTGTGTTATTAATGATAATTATCATACACCAGGACGCTTCTTCACACATGGACACTGGTGGCGCTACACATGCCCTTAGTATAAATCACACAATGGTTCAAAGTATTGTAACCTTTTGTAATCATAAACTGTGGAGGTTGATTCATGCGTTGTTTTTGCATCTCATTTTCCATTTTTATTTTAGACTTTCCATTCCTCCTTTAACTTCGAGAAATCCTCGTTTACTCCAGTATTGCGACGGTGTCACATGTACGCAAACGGCACCACAGGGGTAAAGGAATTCTTTGAGGCAACTCTACACAAATTAATAGTTTACTTTTCTTTTATAGACAGAAATATATATTTTACCCACTATTTGACTTGGTTCAGGTTGCTGAGAGACAGTACCACACACTCTGATTTACAAAACTTTCAATTAATTTTTCCCGTAATGAAGGATTTATGAACACCTCTAATCTGCTCAGCTGGGCTGCTACACAATATGGTGGCCAGAGCAATGTCGAGGAAACATTGACTAAGATAGAATTGTTACTAAGTGTGCTCTTTCTCTTCATTTAAGCATAGAAAAAATATTACGACCGACGTATTTTCTTACAGAATCTGTACCCTGGAGTTGATCAGCTCAACACCTTCACGGACACACAACGGAACAGTTTACTTGTCATGTCATTCTGTAACTCGTCGGACGTTTCATTACTTTAATCTTACATGTACTACCGGTAACTGTGTACGGTCACAGGATTATATCCCTATAAAGACTTCCGACTATCCTGAGGTAATTATTTGTACTGTTATCATCATTTATTTTACGTATTAATGATAAAAGTTTTTGTTACAATGCGCTCCTGAATTACATTATTGATGAGATAAAATTATGTTTCACATTCCTCTTATATCACTGTCTTGTCTACACCAGTCGATGCTTCAGTTAAACACTCGCGGTGTTCTTAGTCAACCTAACACAGGATAACGTTGTTGTAGCAGTCAGAGGTAACACTAGTAAGCTTAAGTGGTCTGGTCAATGGCATCCTCACTTTCTCCGGCAACAGAAATCATGACCGTCATGGCAGAACCAGTGGATTCCACGTCATGGTTGTCAGGGACGTTAAACCGCACCCTCCTGGGGAACTTGGCTCCGTTATTACCGTTGATGTTGGTCTTGAGCATAAGTCCCCCGAACACGCCAGACCACAGCATAGGGTTCCGGCGAATGGTGAGGCACATGAGCACCGACACCACCACACCCAGGAGGATCATCATCAGAAGTAAAGTTAGACCAATGACGTACTGATACTCGCTCAGACGTGACCCACCGGCTGCCTCGTTGTTCCAGGACTTTCCAGTCACATTTTTCTTTAACCACGAACCATTGGGAGCGTCACTGGTACCTGGCTGCACTGTCACTGAGAAAAACTCCCCTACGGTGTACCCGCCAGCCATGACTATCTTACTGAGAAGCCAGGCGGGAGTCACAAGGTTCTGCATGAAAGTCTCGTCACCGGAGCTAACGAGAAAATAGCGTATTAATACTCAATGAATGGCAGAGTACATAAGTTTTGAGGCAACACCTCTCTCAATGAGGCTTAACCACAATTAAACTTGATTGATACTAGCAGGACGAGCTGAATAGAGCATTGCTAAGTTACTCCTGAACGAGTAGAAAAAGACTGTTGAGAAGTTAGTCGATGAAGAGAGCCTTGGTGTATGACCTCGTTGATTAGGGTAGCCTTGAATACTTCTTCGTTGATTAAGGCTTCCGAGGCCAAAGACCCACTGAGCACCACCTCACTGAGTTGGGCCTCACTAAGTAAGTTTGTTTCTCACATCTGAAAATACATAATAGATTAGTTTCAAGGAGGTGATGACTTATGTCTTCTGATCATTAACAATATCGGAAACAATGCGGTAATTAGATGTTACAATCTGTTAAAGGTTTCAAATATTAAGGTTATAGGTATTCATAAGATGATAAAACTGAGATTTAGCTTATTTACCTCCAAACCTGCCCGTAAGCCAGAAAAATTCACGTTTAGGTTGATGACAAGCACTTTTACTCCAGAATGAAAATATGGAAGAACCATATTGTTGTGAAGTTGTCTTGGTTTAGGAGTAATGTTAGGAGGTTTTGCGTATCTGAACCAACAGTGAGGGTTTGTGCTGTACAATGTTTACACTGGAGTTACCGTATCCCCACGGAGCGATCAAGGCAATCCAACTGAGTTTGTTTTATTCTCACATCTTTATTTAAGACAACTGTGAGACTTAATGGGACAGTGTGTGGAGGCAGGGTGTAGGGGCAGGGTGTAGGGGCAGGGTGTAGAGGCGGGATATAGAGGCAGGGTGTAAAGACAGGGTGTAGAAGCAGGGTGTAGGGGCAGGGTGTACAAGACAGGGTGTAGAAGCAGGGTGTAGGGGCAGGGTGTACAAGACAGGGTGTAGAAGTAGGATGTAGGGGCAGGGTGTTGGGACAGGGTGTAGAGGAAGGGTGCAGGGGGAGGACGTAGAGACAGAGTGTAGAGGCAGGTGTAGTAGGGACAGGGTGTGAAAGCGGGGTACAGGGGCAGGGAGTAGAGGCAGGATGTAGAGACAGGTATAAAGGCAGGATGTAGAGGCAAGGAGTAGGGACAGTGTAGAAGCACCGTGAGACGCACGATCAATGTTCGTCTTAGGACTGGTAGAAGGTGGGAGCGCCCGCCAGGCATCAGGGGAAGAAATTCTGTCATGTTAATACAGCTTAGCTTCTGATCCCCAACCGTTTGCTATGTGTGAGGGATGTCGAGGTTAGGTTAGGTTAGTTAAGAAGTAATAAGGAAAGATCAAAACTCAAACGTTAATTTTTACATTGATTATAAAAATGTTAAAACAAAAACAAGATAATAAAAAAATGGTAGTGAAATTGTAGCACCAACATAACCAACTATGATGACGTATAAACAAACCAGTGTGACATTCAGCAGGGCAAGAGAGTCAACAGGGCTGGTAACGAGACGCTGTTCCTTATGAATGTGTCTCCATAAGTCAATCAAGTTTTACAAGTTAATAAAATGAAACGCTGCAACACTCAAATCACAGACTCAAAGATTAATGAGTTGGGAAAACCTAGATTACCCTAACACAAACTCAGAGCGAGGAATATTGAGACTACTTGACCTTTCTATTAACGGATACTTAAAAGGGATCTGATCATTTTCAAGAGCCACTCAAATATTACCCACTGACGAAAGAATCGATGATGATGATGATGGTGGTAGAGATCTATAGCGAGTGTAACCCTATGAGGACACTGGTATAAACTATTGTCCTCAAAGAATTAATTCATCATTCTCAGAGGATAAAATCATCATCCTTAAGTAATCATTATTCTAAAAGGGTTAAACCATCTTACAAAAATAAGATCTATAAAAAAGTGAAAATGTGACAACAGTTTATTATGTATTCACTAGCACCAGGTACTAAGTTGTGATCCAGATGACAACACTCTATGCTATTTAATAATTTTCCTAATATAAATGTACAATACAGTATTAATGAGATGCTTCAGAGAGAACTCCAGTATTCGTAAGGCTAAGCTCTGTTAATACTGTCGTTGCTCACTTTGTATCTATATTCACCTGGCTAAATAAACTGTTTCAATATCATCTTGAAACGGGAAGATTAAGACATCATTTTCAAACGATAACATTTCAATAAGTCAGAGTGAACTATGATATTAATTTACTCTTTGATAATTCTGATAGCAGATGGTCAGCATAACGAAGATATATTGTGAACTATTATGTGATAAAGTGATCAATTGGCTACACCAAATATAACTATGTTTATATTGATAACCTCTCCTTCGTTTGATAAAGTCTTGCATGAACACATTAGTTAAAGGGGGCTATTGACACTACCTGACACTGTGTGCACCTGCTGATTAAACACCCAAATGCTCCCTGGTGGAGTTAGGCTAGGTTAGGTAAGGTTAGGTAAGGTCAGGTTAGGTAAGGTTAGGCCGGGTTAGGTTAGGCTGGGTTAGGTTAGGCTGGGTTAGGTCAGGCTGGGTTAGGCTGGGTTAGGTCAGGTTAGATTCCATTAGTTTAGGTAATGCTATGTTAGGTTATGTTAGATTAGTGTTAGCGTTAGGTTAGGTTAGCTTAGGTAATGCTATATTAGGTTAGGTTATGTTATTTAAGGTTAGCGTTAGGTTGGTTAATATAGAGGTTGACATAACCTGGCGGTAATTTTCATGTGATCCATGGGTAAGCTTTGATATTTTCACGGCGGTAGGGGAGCGTTTTACCCGCACACAGTCTCTCTAAAACACTACGAGTCTGAATGATTAATCCTTCACACACCGACCCTTACAGTTAAGATGAGATGTGAGGAAACAAATGAAAACAAGATAACAAGAGAGATCTATTTAACTGCGTCTCTCTCTCTCTCTCTATCTGGGTAAAAATCTGGGTCATGTCAATATATACAACCATCAGCAGTGAGTGAGATTCTAATTCGGGCGGCCTTCTTTTGATCCTCCGTAGAGAAAGTTTGAAGAGCAGGTGTAGTGTAACCCGCTAGAGTCAGGTGTAGTGTAACCCACTAGAGTCAGGTGTAGTGTAACCCACTAGAGTCAGGTGTAGGAAAACAGTCCCAGGAGCCAACAAGACCGCTGTATTTCAGGTATATAAGTCAACAAAAATAATTAATCTCCATCGGTATTGATCTAATATCTCCTTCACCTCACCTTGTTTGGTCTTCCTCCTCAACACAGCAAACAAGAGAACAACAACCAGAGTCAGGTTTTACGTATGAATGACTGTATATTTTGTTATTCTTTGGTTTATTATATGCTTATTTACCCATTGACTTACTGCTCTATGAAGTGAAGCGAGATACAGGTACACATACTGTACATAACTATCCACTCAAACGCTCAGGACAAAGAAAGACTTGAAGGTATTAAAAAATTCGCAACGTTCCTCAATCATTAAGGAACTTCCTGTCCCTTGGGGCGAGGTATTCACTGGGAAAGAAAATCTCATTACACAACTGATCAAAGGTGTAATGGACCCCAAACAACTAGGCTACAATACAACCATCCGGAGGCAGATAGGAAGCAGGATATAAAAGTCCGGAATCTCTCGTTCCAGTAGTTTTGTGTCTAATTACAGCAGTTTAGTCTTGTTCCAACAGATTGGAATCTCGATATAGCAGAGTATAGTCTCGCGTCAGCAGTTTAAAATCTCGTTTCAGCAGTTGTTTCGTTCCAGCAGTTTTGTCTCGCCTCAACAGTCCATAAACTCATTCCAGCAGTTAAATTTAGGTCCAATAGTATACAGTCCCGATCGAACAGTTCAGAGTCATGTTCCAACAATTCAGAGTCTCGTTCCAGCAGTTCAGAGTCTCGTTCCAGCAGTTCAGAGTCACGTTCCAGCAGCCCAGTCTCGATCCAACAGTTCAGAGTCTCGTTCCAGCAGTTCAGTTACATTCCAGCAGTTCAGTCTCGTTCCAGCAGTTCAGAGTCACATTCCAGCAGTTCAGAGTCTCGTTCCAGTAAGGTGGTGTCCTAAGTGTGTAACAAGACTTTTTTATGGCTTTATTGACTTTATCGGTGCATGGTTACTTGTGTTACGGTTCGGAGGCTGATAAGTCTTGACAGCAACATCAACACCATCCTGAACAACGATCAAAACCACAACACCACTGGAACCAACAACATTACAATAAGAAGCAACAACATTAGCAACAAAGACAACGACATCAAAACCAATAACAATAACACAAGTAACAATATTAACAACGACGAAACCAAATACAACATCAACGTCACCACCACCAGCAGCGGCCTGGATGGCAACGATGCTCCTCTGGACAAAAAGTGGTGGAGAGGTAAAAGGAACTATTCTTTGGTAGGCCTATCTCCCCATGTGATCTGTCTGTATGTCTGTGGCTGGCAGCGATTGTTTGTCTACGATTTTTTTGGCATATTTTCATGTCAGTAAACGTTTGGGTGTATATAAATGCATTTCTGAATGATGTATATTGATATAGTCGAGTGAATGTGTATAAAAGTGTTTATATAACACACACACACACACACACACACGCACGCACTTCTGTAGCACACTCACTACCTCTCACAAACGTGCCCCCCCCCCCCACCTACACACACACCACCTTACAAACACACGCCCTCACACACTCACACCCCCCTACCATCTCTGTGTATTTCCTAGTTCATCAAAATATTTGTTTTGCCTTAAATTCATTTACCTGTTAAGACCTGCCTGTGTTTCCATGGTTTGTTGTTATTGAAAAGAGTTAAAAAAAATTTGAATGTAATGGTGACGTTTCCATTATTATTATTATTATTATTATTATTAAGAAAATCAATAACAAACCGTGAGCAATAGTTTACGTGGACGTAGATGAAGTCATACTGGAGGGAAGAGGAAGCGTCTTTAGGAGGAAGGAACAGCACGGGACACACACGTCGCCTCACTCCACCCACCTGCAGAGACAGCAACCCGTTACTCGAAAGAATGCCGACGTCACCACCAAATTATTATACCATAGCAATTCCAAACACTTAAGGCTACAATAGGATGTTCATATCCTTAAAATAAATAATGAAAAGCTGGGGAAAAATAGAAATAACTTAACAGTAATCAGAGTTTGGGTTTTAAGAGGTTGATAAGTTGTCAGTCTGGCAAGAAGTGTGTTATGTACAGTGGGAGGAGGGAGGACACGTGCTAGACAGTAGACACCGTGACGGAAGCCATGGTGTGTCTGCCTCCTGTAGGAACCTCAGCGTCACTACTACTACTGCTGTTGCTGCTACTACTAA